AAGAAGGGCAAATGACCCCACATGGGATCGAACCCAGGACCTGGCCCTTTCTGTGCTCACACTCGTCTGATTTACCAATCTGGTCCAGACGTCATTAGATGAAGTTAATAGTGAATTTTTGTAAAGCAAACTGAGCAAGAAACAGTTACCATAGCTTTTCGCACGTGATAAGCCTGCGTTTTCGGTTGGAAGCTTTGTAAAACTCCGTTTATGGTCATAAGATAAACTGAATTTTCTCGTGGAAGTAACATCAAAAGTTTAAAATTCGTTTCGTAATTGGGTTGTCATAAAAATTTATAACTGTTTTACAGTAATGCCACACAAAGTCCAATGTTTTATTAAATAATCTTGCACAACTTAACATGTTCGGTATAATACTGTTTATTGATATCTTTCCGAGTCAGAATGTATATCTGCAACGATGTTGTACAAGCATTAATAAACAATTTTGCACAGCTTAACAGGTTTTGTATAGCTTATCCAGAATAATAAATACTGTTTCAAGTTACTTATGAATACCTGAAACAATGTGGTGAATTATTATTTCGACTATTTAACTAAGGTGAGAGAAAGAAGTCGACCGGCGAATTTGGATTGCCAGCGACGTTACCTGCGCCCTTTTTACTAATTATAGCTTACTTAGAGTTGAAAGCTGCAAGTGTTTATGTAGATCAACATCCCCATACTCACTTATGGTCTTGAGTCATGAGCCGTGATGCCGGGTACATGCGGTTCAATTGGGCCTTCTAAGACGAATCGCTGGGTTCACGCATCCCAACAACTTTCTGAGTGGGGATTTTCAGTAGATTCTTGTGCACATCCGGTGCTTCTTTTGATCGAGAGTAGTTGCAATGGCTTGGCACGTCCTGTGAATGCTTCCAAAGAAGAAGGCGAAACTGACACTACTCGCTCAAGCGACCGACCAGAAACCCGGGAGCGGCCAAGAATGATCTAAGACAGGTGTATCGACGGACTTTGCGCAAAACGTTGGCTATATTTCCTGAAGCTTAGACAATGATACATAATCGGGAGCGTTGAAGGCACTCTTGGGCGAGTCTGTCTCCGCGCCTCGAAAGGATTAGCGGTCATCGTCACTGACTGACTGTTTGATGGATCATTTAACTGACCGTTTCTTCAAATTGGTCAGATTCTAGTAGTGCAATTCTCGTTCGTCGTATGCCGATTTCATTTTGGTTCGATTGCCTAGTTTTGCCTGGCTCTTGCAACGAAACGAAATATCAAGAAATATTAAGACAACTTTCTGCACTTTTTGCATTTTAAAACGAACCATGTTTTTAGCCGTTTGTACGTATCGATGATTCTAAGATTAATATATGTTTATCTTACTATCATTCCGATGTGAAATTGCTGATTTTTATAATATTTAACGCTTATTTGCAAAGAATACCACAAGTAACAAATAAAAGCAGTTTTATTTTCTACCCATGACAGGCCAGACATAAATAAAACATGTTAATATCTTGCTGCAAGTGTTTTTTGACAGTAGCCGTCACTCTTTGTTGCCATTCAATGATTCCCTGCTCGGTCTCTAATGGGTTCAGCAAATGATTTAGAACAGCATCGAATGCCGTTGTAAATCGCTTCTTTACAACTTCAAGCCGACGGATGATTCTGGATTTAGTTTTAGACTTGCTTAGTATAGACCTGCGCGTCGTCACGTTGAAATACATATTGTCTGTTGTTCAGTTACCGTTGTTTTAAGCTAATGGAGCTTAAACAGAAGAGTTACCCGGATTTATGATATCTGACCGGTAGACATAGTAATTAAATTTTAAATTAGGCAACGCTCCCTGCTGCGGCTGCGATCATGATTCTCTTCGCAAGCACGTTAGTCTCAATTACTTGTTTCTTTTTTCCCGTTGTCTTACAACGTGTTAGTGGTCAATGCATGGTTCCAAAACGAGAAAGATTTTGAATATATTTCTGTTCTCTATTTGGGTCGTTTGATCAAGCCAAGACAAACGCTGGACTCTGAGTTCATCTGACAGTTTTCGCAGGCCAGTCATCATCAACACTTCCTCGCTCATGACCCGGTGGTAAAATCGCAATTTGAGGATATCTCGCAGAGAGCGTTGTTGGAAGTTATTTAGGGTAGATTCTTGACACTAAAGGTCGGCAGATATTTTGAGACTGAACATGAGTACCGTGAATACGGCTGCTTTCTAAATGGCGATCTTTATATCCATTCTTATTGTGTGATCCTTCCATATGTTATGCACCTTCTCATATTTCGCTTATGCCAGTTCGATACGCAAATTTTCTGTATGATCAATGTCGCTTTCGTCGATTGACGCAGTTCAGAGATGATTGAAATGGTCCACATTGCCTTTCGTAATACCATCACATAGTAACGTCAGTATGAAGGTTGTAGCGAGCGTCATTTGAATCTTCGTTTTGACCTGTGGTTAGCCCCACAGTGTTGAAATATGTTAAGCTTTAGAGAAATCGAGCTCGTTCCGCGTAATCGATGAATTCCATTTCTAACATTACGTTGTTTATGTCATGTCATTGTTGCGAGGCTGAAAAAATTGTTGGAAATGGCAGCAATCCAAATGTTGGTCATAATCAATGAAAAATTTAGAGCAATTCATGTCCTGACGGCGAATTTGTCACGTGCACAAGGCTTTGTTAATATAACCGCTTTCAATAAGCTAGCTGAATTAATAGTTAGCGGAACATCCAGGTTTTCAGACCTTGAGTGTTCAGTCCGTACTAACTGATCAGCGAGTGGTTACAGCAAAAATTGCTGAAATCGTATTTATATAATTGTCAGACTTCGACGAAAGGGGATTAATGTACCATTCGCTTGCCGCTTTCAACAGCAATCATAAATACAGTTTAGTATTAATAAGGAAAGTAGTTTTATATTTATTGTACCAGTGTGCACAAAACATCAGTATAGCATTTTATTCTCTAACCCGGAACGGAACTTTACAACAGTTGGAATCAGTCACCCTGCAACTGCACCCTGCTACCGATGCTGTCCAACAGTTTTTGGCATATTCACTATATTTCCAATTCTCCTTCATTGTTGCGAAATCTACGATCAACCGTTGTGCCTCAGCATTTTCCAAACAACTTTCTCTGTGCCTGAAAATAAAGCTTTTTGTCATCATTCCACTGATCTCTGAGATTAGTCAGACATTCAGAGTTATTCCCTATTCTAATTCATTATTTTCAAAAGCAGGTTTTAGCTAGGATTGTCATAAGCGTTACCGAGCTATCGAAATTAATAGACCCATTTTGAATCTGGCGAAAAGTTTCCTGAGAGTGTAGCATTGTTGTCAGTATAAACAAAGTGTTTATTACTTTTGAAGATTGCTCGCAATGTATAGTTTTGTTTTTATATACAAATTTAAAAATGATTACTTCTTTAAATTTCGGTCTATGAGTGTATCGAATATAATGAGTTTGCATTTTTTATTGTGATTTCTTTCCAGTGTAGTAGCAAATTTTATTCAGCTTAATATTTGCTAGAATAAATCTCGGCATTTCGCTATTTTAGAAGTTTTGTACAGCAGTACGTGAAGTCTCAGGAAGAACGCGATAACGAACTCTCAGCGCTGGCCACCGGCAGGGCTAGCCATGAGCAGTTAGGTTACAGGAATCCTTTCAATCGTTAGTGTCGACAATATTAAAAAATCAGTCAGTTGCGAAAGCCGTATAATTTCAGCTGGAAACCGTCAGAAATTCGAAGCAGCCACGAGTTTGAACGTGTTGGTGGTGATTCTACGTCTTCGCCAGGCCTGTGTTCACTTCTCTTTGACCAAGGAGGTACTTCCTAATACGCGTGGTTGTTTGCATCGTTTATCCCCATTTTTTTCAGAGCATTGACATCGACGCGCTACAGCAAGACACTATCAAAGTTGGCTTAGAGGCCCAGTTGCGTGACCTATCCATACATGAGCAGGAAATGTTCCCGGTGAATCCGGTCGGAAGGCTGTTCGAGCCGTCCTACGAGAGTACTAAGGTAAGTTATGCTTGCACAGCGTCATTTTAAGCGGGTTGTTTTAAAATAGTCACCAGACTTTCGAAAAGAATTTCGAAAAGAACTTATCAAATTGCCTATAATTCTCCTTTTGAAAATGTCTGTGGATTCTAACCTGATCAAAGCAGAATTTTGACAAAATCCAGCATATTCATCACGTAAAGCTGTTTGTTAATTTGTTATTGCTTTTCATAAAATTTCTCCTTTCCTAATTTTTAAAATCTTTTTGGATGCCTCATTCATATCCTTTGTTCCACTTAGAGTGATCCTAATTATGAAACAGGTCTTATCTTTCTGTTCGTTCTCTAGATAGTACGGTAAAAGTTTCTTCATTCCTCACAATTTAATATCAGTATGCCCTCCAATTTTTCATTTCTTATGTGTAATGAGGGTATTTTTGATTTGATTTAAGATTTTAGTTGATTTGCCATGTTTTATTCCCGCTGTATAATTTTAGAATTCACAAATCCCCATGATTACCACAGCAACAAGAAAGAATGATC